GGGGATTGGACAAAAAGAAAGGGCACACACATAATTCACTGATTTGTTTCAATTTCTGCCCTCATTTCATACGAATTTCTCTTCCAAAAGGCAGTTTGGGACTTTATTTTAATATAAAAATGAAGATCTAGGATACACCTGAATCTCGGGTTGCTTTTCTATATTACTGGGATTTCCTGGATTTCTGGTTTTGAGGTTTAAGGTTGTTGTCCATTGTTTTCTGCGGCTATCTTCTTGCTGCTGCTTTCTTCCCAGTTTTCAGAGACTTATTTTCTTTCTTCTCTTTCTTTGCTACTGTTAAGGTATGTGCTTGATAGTTTCAAATAATGTAATTGTTATTTGAATATCACATTATTTTGAAATTTATGTTGTTTTTTAGTTATGTGTATGTTGGATGTTCCTCTGTGTCTGATTGCAAATTTGAGTTTACATTGAAGAAAAAATGATTGCATAAATATTCATACATGTTGGTAACCTTAGTGATAAAACAATTATCAGTTCTGTACTCTGATTTATGACTGCTGAGGTTTGGTTTGCTGTTGTTAGATTCATATCATGTGAAGTTCTGGAAATTTTCTGTTAGATGTTGGCTTAAGAAGTGAGACATCAGAAGTGTTGGAGATGAGTTTGGAAATCTGACCAGTGCTTGGCCTGATTTTAAAAGTTTTATCAAGTGAAAGTGGCCATCTATTGTAATTATTGAATCCCAGTTAGTATATTTACTAATATGGTTCTTGATACAAAGTTGTAATAACTCATGTCCATTATCAGTGAATGTAGTTATATAGATTCAGTAGATTGATAGTAAATGTTCAAGAAACACATATTATGGAATGTCATCGTATAGCAGTTTAGCACGAGTCCCTCTTGCTCGAAATAGCTTCATCATTCGTAGTTTATTAACAATAGGAGACATGAATGCTAGTTTGAGAATGATATTGTATAAGTGATTCAATTGGAGCTGGTGTTAAACTCGTTTGAAATACTTTTCGTCTGTGTGATTAGTTGGGCATAACTGGCCTTTGTCTAAGGTTATAATTAATTGGACTCTATGTCTACAAGGTTCAGGCTTCAAGAGGAAGCCAGAAAGTGGAGGCCTAATATGATTGGGCTTCACATGAAAGCCCATCTGGACATCATTCATTTTTGCAGTATTTTGCTTACTGGTTAAGTGGCAAACCTTGTTATATATAAAGCTTAATGCTATGATTTTTAAGTTTAGCCCATGTTTTGCTCATAACCAACCTGCATACAGCCATTCAATGACTGAAATAATATCAAATTAATCTAATAGAATAACCAATCATACGCTAGTCAACCCCATCACTTAATGAAAGAAAAACTCATATAGGAATCCATGTGATGAACTTTATCATATTAGAAGCTTATTCCAAGACTGTTTTGCTTCATATTTCGCTAATTTCCACATTTGTAAACTCTTGGCCTTGCGATCATCTTAAACTGGTTTTCGGACAAACAATCTTCGAATATTTTAGTTTGCTTTAGGCATGCATTTAATCTACTATCGTAATTGTGTACACGTTCGCGTGATATGATTACGATTCCTAAAATAAATCAAAGTACGCGTTCGCGCAACTTTGGCCAACAATCTTAATATTAATAAAGCGGGAATAATTATGTACACATACACATGACATGATTTTAGCGCACCGAATAAAACGGATTCACACTCATGTGATCCGTTTCAAAGATAAATCCATAAGCGACATATCTAAAATCGGTAAAAGGTAAAATGCATATTAGGTTTTAAAATACGTAATTAAATAATTTAATTAAGCCAGGTGTAATTAAAGAGACCGTGCTAAAATCACGGAATCTGGGAGTGCCTAACACCTTCTCCCGGGTTAACAGAATTCCTTACTCGATCTTCTGGTTTTCGCAGACTTTAAACAGAGTCAAATTTCCTCGATTTGGGATTTAAAATAAATCGGTGACTTGGGACACAAAAAATTATCCCAAGTGGCGACTCTGAAATCAATTTACTAATCCCATTTTGAATAATATCATTTTAATTGAAAAAACTCTCTATCCCCCTCGAAAAAAATGAGGTGTGACACCTCTAAGGACTGGGTCTTTAACAAATAGATGTCTTCAATGTTTTTCTACAGGGAGGTCTATATGAGGAAGTTTATATAGACTTACCTCAAGGATTCCAAAGACAGGGGGAGAAAAAGGTTTGTAGGTTGTGGAAGTCCTTGTATGGTCTTAAATAGGCCTCAAGACAATGGAACCTAAAACTTACAAAGGCTCTACTAGGTGTAGGCTTCAGTCAGAGTGTCTATGATAATTCCTTATTCACCAAAAGATCTGGGAATGACATTGTGGTCATCTTGATCTATGTACATGACCTATTGCTAACTGGAAGTAGCATAAAGGTCATTAATGAAGCCAAGTTAGTGTTATATCAACAATTTAAGATAAATGATATGGGGAAGCTCAGGTATTTCTTAGGGATTGAAGTCTTGAGGTCTCATCAGGGCATTTTGCTCAATCAGAAAAAGTACACTTTGGAGCTCATTTAAGAATTGGGGTTGAGTGGTGCAAGGTCTGCTCTTACACCTCTAGAATTCAATCAGAGGCTTACTTCAGTGGAGTTTGACAAGGCAATTAGCAGCAAAGAACTTGATCCCTTGGTAGATGTCACAGGCTATCAGAAGCTCATAGGGAAATCCCAATATCTTACAGTTACCAGGCCAGACATCAGCTATGAAATCCAAACTCTGAATCAATTTATGCAGGCCCCTAAGAAGTCTCATGTGGATGCAGTTATTCGCGTAGTGAGGTACCTCAAATATGCACCATGAATAGGAGTTATCATGAGGAAAGGACCAACTGAAACTTTAGTTGGTTTTTGTGATTCAGATTGGGCAGCTTGCCCAGTGAGCAGAAAGTCTGTTAATGGATATATTGTTAAATTTGGTGATTCCTTGATATCATGAAAATCAAAGAAATAACACACAGTCTCTCGTATAAGTGCTGAAACATAATACAAAAGCATGGCTTCAGAAGTAGGTGAGATAGTTTAGTTGCGAGGCCAATTTGCTGAACTAGGGACTCCCATTCACCAACCAGTCACATTGTTTTCAGACTGTAAAGCAGCTATGCAAATAGTTGCTAATTTCATTTTTCATGAGCATACAAAACATATCAAAATTGATTACCACTTCATCCAGGAGAAACTCAAATAAGGAATCATGCAGACACAATATGTCTCTACCAAGCATTAGTTGGTTGATCTACTCACAAAGGGATTGGCCTCACCTCAGCATCATTTTCTACTTGGCAAGGTGGGCGTGTTAAATATTTTACACTCTCCAGCTTGAGAGGGAGTATTGGCATATATAGAGTGTTAGTTAGTTAGTTAGGTATGAGGGCTATAATGTACATATTAGAAGTTAGAGTGTGTTATTATTATTTTAGAAAGTTAGTACCTAACTAACAAGGAGTTGTATATAGTCGGTTGTTTATGCCACAATTAATCAGTTGAGCAATTTTTCAATCTCTGATTCTTCTCCACATGATCATCTTCGATCAAGTGGGTTCAAAAAAGGTTTATATCAATATTTTACATAATTAACCTATATAAAATACCAAAAGTTTTCGAAGAACCGGGTTCATATGAACCTTCTTGACTCTACATGGGGTCCGCCCCTAGCTGAAGCTAAAAAAGTAAACTTTAACACGTTAAGTCAGACACTAAAGAGAATTATACTAAAAATGTATAATATTTTAATACAGTTTAGTCAAGTGACCTACATTAATCTACTAATATAAAGGAGAAGAAAAACTACATTGTGGATGTTATTGTGTTTTTAGGTGAATGCTTAATTTATAGAGGTGCATAATCTTTTCCTCTAAAAAAGAAATTTGTCCAACATGGAAGAAATCTATATTTTCCTTTAAGGAAAAGTAAAAATCAATTATGGTGAACTATTTTCATTTCCTTCAAAAAAGTAAAATCCAAATATAAGGCAAACTCTAACGGATGTTTCACAATTTCTCTTTCTTATGAGGAAATAACGAAACACCCTTCTCAAAACAAAATAAAACTAGACTTCAAGACACAAATATAATGTCCATTAGAGAACTGAAAAACGAATGCCCGTAATAGAAATAAGAAAAGAGTCATAGACTATAAAAGGTGCTATTTCCTGGGCTTGGTACCCACGACTATATAATTAAGGGTGTCTTAAGTTTATTTTTACTAATAAATAATCCGGCGATGCAGACCAACTATTGAGCAAAAAAATTTCCAAGTAACAATTTATCAAATTGCTGGTACTTAATAAAACAGTACAAGGTGTAATAGCAAAACCCAGAAAAGTAATTTATCATTTACCTCGCAAAAGCAAGAATTTTGATTTACTGATTTATTTATTTATTATTTTTGTTTGCATTAGAGTCTGAACATAGATATCTAAGATAATTATTGTTGAAAAATAACTAGTTTAACCATGTCCAAATTCCAACATTTCAAGCAAAAGATTCAATTAAAGAAGTGAACTTAACCGTCAAGGGTTGTGGTGAGATGGATAGATTTTTGTCCTTAATTAGATGTCTTGGGTTCGAGCTATAGGAATAAAAAATGCTGACAGGGAACACTTTCCTTTTTAATGAGCCTTATACAACGCAAATTTGGATTAGCCGGGGAACCAATGCAGGTGCCGACCACTAGACAGAAAACCAAAAAAAATTGTGAACTTACAGACTTATTCTAATTTGAAGGGGAGTCTTGGAGCACGGTAAAGTTGTCTTTGTGTGACTTATAGGTCACGGATTCGATCCGTGGAATCCGCCGCTGATACTTGCATCAAAGTAGACTGGCTACATTACACCCCCTTAGAGTCTGGCCCTTCTCCGAACCCTATATAAATACGGGATGCTACGTGCACTGGCATACCCTTTTGACTTACTCTAATTTGTAAAAGGAAAAAAGGCGATATAACTTAAAACTATTGATTACAAATTGAAGGCTGGAATGGAAAAAACACAATTATGATTAGAACTTGGTAACTTTTGAAGAAGAAAGAAGTCTCCAGTTCATCTTGTACTCATTCAGTTTCCTAATTGGAAGTTCATAATCTTTAACTCCACTTGGTCATTTATTCACAAAGGAAAAGAAAATTCATACATCAACTTCACAGTCTGGAGAACCAAGCAAAGGTACTTGACCCACAAAACCCTTCTTGTACCCTACCAACATATCACACTTGACATAAATTCCATAATGTCTAGTCCTTACAAATGCAGCTTTATATCTCAATTTACCCATAAACACTAGTCTCAAAGCCACCATCCCATACGTTTCATCCACCACCAACCCATTTGCAACTTCCACCGATACCGGCACCGACACGCCTCCGATCACCGGCGACAAGGGCACCGTGCTTTTTGTATCCTGAAATTAAGGATATCAAATTTAGCCGATAAAAATATTACTCATCTATCTTGTGCAAGTTGACGAGTTAGATTGGACATATAATATGTAGAAATGACACTAGATAACAACTCTAAAGAGATGCTATTTAGGAATTAGCTAATGTGTCATGAATTTCAGCTTTCAGTTTAACTTTTCAGGACATAAATATCTCAAATTATACTAAAATTAAGATTTTTAGTTCAAATTTTCAGCACAAAATAAGTACTAGCTAATCTTAAAAAAACATCCCTAAGAATGATTGTTTGTGCACTTTCCCGACACATATTCATTAGCGGGTCAACTTAGACATAGCCCAAGTTAACCATCTGAAAGCTTGGATCAATTTGTACAGTCACGTCGCCCGAATTAGCCCATTAAAAGAACGTATCCAAATGTAAAAATACAAAAAAAAATTGGGTTTTGTTGATTATATGAAGTTCTGATAATATTAAAAAATGTTAATTTGCTTGGTAATTAAAGTCCCTAAAAGGAAAAAAGAAAACAAAGAAAAATAATTTTGAATTGATCACACATTGGTTAGCTCAAACTGACCCGTTCATTTTGACCCAAAGAAATTCGGGACAAGTTATGACCCGACTTACTTATTAATTCGACCTGTTTTAACTCATCTAAATTTAGCACAACCCGACCATTTCATAACCTTTCTTACCTGAAATAAAGGTGGCAGCATCACTGGAGGTGTAATTGCTTGACCCTTGTAAGAAACAAGAGCTGAAATTTGGTCATAAAACAAGCTGACTCTCCTGTTTGGATTTCTTACTAACACTGTGAATTGCATGGTAGTGAACATATAAGGAAGGGATGTGATGTTTAATTGGTAAATTGCAGCATTTACTAGAGTGAAATTTGGCTTGTGAGGTCGATAAATTAGCCACCCTATGAGCAAAGTGAGACCAGCTAATATGAGGAAAATTAGTAGAAAAGTGCACAAAGTTTTGGCAGGATTTTTAGATGATGATAATGGAGATGGTCTTTGAGTATAGCCACCTTCATTTTGACTCTTTTGTTGATCACTCATTTTTGGAATTTCTTCTAGCTAAATCTTGTACAAATTGGCTTAATTAGCTTTGCTTTTTTCTCCAAACTCCACCTTACAAGTAGCTATACTTTTCCGCTCGTATTGCTCCTTAAGTCAGTGTTGACCTGTTTAGATGTTAGTTCATAATATAAACATTGTAAGAGAAGAAAAGAAGGTATTATAAAATTAAGACTCACCTCAATATTTTACGTAAGCAATTTCTTGAACTTAAAATTGCTCAAAACTCCACCTTACTTATGACTATTTTTCTTAAGTCGATGTTGATCTGTATATAATTGAGATGTTAGAAGAAGAAAAATCCTATTATATAAGCACTAACTAAATAAGAGAAGAAAAGATGGTATTATAAAATTAAGACTCACCTCAATATTTCACATAATAAGCAATTTCTTGAACAATTTTAACCAAAACCAAGTAGCTTTAGCAAAGGAGAGAGTTAGGCACAGCTTTGAATTGTTAAGTGAGTGATAGTGGTGAGAGAACAATAAGAAAAAGGTGGAAAAAAAGAGAATCTAATGGGTCAAGTGGAAGACAAAGAAAGGAAAAGAGAAGAATTAGGTTCTCTCTTTGCTTAGTGATAAGAGAAGAGAAAGTTAGCTAGTTGTTTCAGTGCAATTCTTTTTGTTTTGTTTTTTTTACTTTAGCTTACGACTATTGATTACAAAGATTCTTGGCTAGCTGCCAACTAAATGTAAATTCTAAGTATGTAACCGCGGAGTTATATGGTGACACCTAGAAAATTGATTGGAGCTACTTTCGTCACCATTTTTTGTGTCCAGTTTTATAACAGTTGGTTTTGTTATGCTCCTTTTTTCTTTTTCTAATAATGTTTGAATGAGTTTAGGTAGGAATTGTTTTTAGAGTTGCCGTGGAACAATTGCGTTTGTGCTTTGGTCGTTTAGTTACCGGAATTAGGATATTAATTTCAGCATAAATTTTAAAATTATGTTTATTTAGTGTTTGATTATTGGTATTAGTTAAAATTAATATAAATTATATACCATATCTTGATATTTTCTATCCAACATAAGATGCAGGATTACAATCTCTGAATTGTACTACGAGGACATCCTTGTTCTTAATAAATACTCCCTCCGTTTCAATTTAGATAAGGTAGTTTGACTCGGTACGGAGTTTAAAGAAAAAAAGAAGACTTTTGAAACTTGTGGTCTTAAAAGCTTAAGGGGTAAAAGCTTTGTTGGGCCATGACATTTGTGTGGTTATAAAAACTTCTTATTAAGGGTAAGATGAGTAAAATGAATAGTTTAAAGTTCAATTATTTCCAAATTTAAAAATGTGTCATTTATTTTGGAATAGACTAAATAGGAAAGTACCTCATCTAATTTGAAACGGATGGAGTAGTATAACATGTAGAAGAAAAAAAGGAAATTACTCCTCTAATGAAATATGAATAACCCGTCCTCCTCTCTTTAAAAGAATGGGTGCTTCCGGTTCTGTTCGTACTTGAAACAATTTTGCCTTCTCCTTATTACTAGATCTCTAGAGTCAATATTTGTATATGAGAACTACTGAACTCAATCACTTAATGTCATTACTCTTCAGTTTTCTTCTGTTGAGGTCTATCATGCAGAGGTACTCAAATTGAATCAGTAATCGATTTATAGGTGTCATCGTAAACCTAATTGGTTATTAAATCAATAGTTCAAACACTCAAAGGTAGGGCGTTTCCCATTTTTATAGGAACTTTTACACCAAAAATAATAGTATCTCCAATTATAACCCCGCTAGGATATAAAATATATCTCTTCTCACCATCCTATAGTGTATAAGACAAATATATGCATTTTGATTAGGGTCGTATTCTATGGTTACGAATCTACCATACACAAAACATGAAAGAAATTAAAAAAGAATATATAATATTTGAAACCATAAGGAAAGTACAAATTACAAGTCCATGTGTCGTAGGAGTTATGAAATAATTGTCCTTTAATATTTTTCTGCTGCAAACTATTTACATAATACACAAGTCAATGAATACTTAAGTTCCCAGCGCAGTCAATGGCGTCAAACAAAACGGAACTATAGGAATAACAAACTACAAATACTTCCAAGAGTTTACCAAACAACAATTTCTCCTAAATGCAAAACAAATTTCATCCTACTAAGTATATAAACCCAAGAACTACACACAAAAGTTCAACATCTTGAGTTGCACTATTGTCAATCCCTTAATTCCCAAGCTTACAAGGACATACACACACAATACTACAAACCTGTATCTGCATGGCTATGCTACATTTGCCTAAGACATTAGTGAGAATGGCTATGCAAGACTAATTTTCGTTTTGCAGCTGACGAACAAACTGTCCTTTCACTCGAGGTCTCTGCTCTGCAAGTCTTTTCCTGCTTTGGTATCGAACCTGTGCAAAAATAATATCAGTATACTGAAAGACAAAAAGAAGATACTTAACTAAATGTTGGCCACTTCTGAATAATATTGTGGTATGTCCACAAATTTGATCACTCAAGTATATGGAAGGCCAAAAATTGATATTATCTGCTTTATTAGGAGAGAGAAAGTAAGGTGGTTTGCTTATTATAGTGCTTTACAACATGCAACAAGATATATAATATCTAGCCTTAACTTTAGCTAATAACTTTCCATCTGTTTCTGTTTCTGTCTCTCTTTCCTGAGCCGAGGGTCTTCCGGAAACGGCCTCTCTACCTTCTTCAGGTAGGGATAAGGTCTGCGTATATTCTACCCTCCCCAGACCCCACTAGTGGGATTACACTGGGTTGTTATTGTTGTTGTTGTTCTGTCTCTCTTAAGGGCAAATACTTAGCTAGCAAAAATGCCGCTAATTAAACAGAATATAGAGATGAATTCCTGAAGATGCACTTGTTTAAAGTTATTGCAACATATCTAATTAAGTTGAATAATGACACTAGCACAAAGGTTGTAGATACCTTTTTCTCAAAGCATCTATCTTTCCTTTTTAACCGAAACTTCACGAGTGCCGCTTCCCTTTGACTGGTGTTATGATTCTCTGCTCTTGTCCTATCATGAGGAAGGTTGTCATTGTAGTTCACACTCTCAGAAACAGGATCTGTCCCCGAACTTGCAACTGCTGGGGAACTTTCTATAGCTTCATTGGAAGTACTTCCGCAACGAGAGCTACTGTGCTTATTTGTTAAGCCACTTCCCAAATCACTAGATCCACAAATTGCAGAATCATTTCTTTCTTTCTCAGCTACTAACTTCTGGTTACCTGCTGCTTCCGCATTGTCCTCAGAGTGAACTGTAGTATCATCAAATGGCTGCTTGTCGTGCTCAAGATTTTGTACTTCGGAAGATGAATAAGTCAAAGAACTTGTTGGAAGTGGAGATTGTGATTTAGGACTCTGTACTTGTTGATAATCTGATTCTACTGGAATAAAGCGTAGTTGGTTGTCCGACGATATTGCAGCTTTACAATTTCCTGGTTGGCGCATAACCAGAGCTGTTGCGTTTTGCTCACTCTCGGTCAATGAAGCATCATGCTCCAAAGTAGAGGCACTAGAGCCTTCCTTGAATGGACCAGAATTGCTAGTCAATCCAGAGAAAAGATATTGTATTGTCTTCTTATTTTCATATCTGACATAAAAGAAAAACTTTAATGAATTCTCAGGAGTTGAATATGATTTGCAGAACAGATAATTTGTAGAAGTTGAATTCCAAAACGGGCCCATGAATATAAAGTAATAAAACCTACAATATTACTTCATATTTGAGGAATCCGCTTAGCAAAGAGGAAAATTCAACACTAGAATGTCAATAAACAGGAAGGCAAAACTTACTTAGCAAAGGCGGATACTTTTGAATGACTTATCATGTTCTGCTCTCTGGACCCGTCATCGTTTGAGCAACTGGGATTAAATGTTCTCAAAGAAAGTCCCAACCGGGAAGCGACATTTGATTTCTGTTTTCTTTCATCAGAATGGCTGTTATCAGCCAAGCAATTTTCAAATTTCCCAATCAAGTCAACTGCTTCAGTACAAGGTGCAGAATAGAGTTCATTCAACCGGCAATCAACTTCATCATCAGCACAAGCATTTTCACAAAGAGAGCCTTCCTCTGAACTAATAGCACCTGAGCTGTAAGGTCCAGTGCAAGAAGAAGTTCCTATTCCCGAGCTAGTCATGTTTTCTAGAGACGATTGTTTGTCAGTACAAAGCTTAGTCATATTCTTCTACAATTTGTGAAGAGACGAAAGGGAGTAGCTTTCCATACCTAATGGTTTACTTTTCGGCATAAATGATCTCTCAACCACTTCAACACATTCTTCATGACATTCATCATCGCACATATTTGAAGCATCTCTACATCTAATATCCTTAATGCCCTGCATATTTGCAGTACACACACTTTCAGATTCAAAGAAAGGCATTGATCTATATGTAATGCATCATATCATACATTTTGGAAATGATATTCGTTTTCAAACTTTTATGATGTAAAATAAACTATCCGCAGAAAATCTGATGGCACTTGACTGCTTGAAGTGCAACAAAAAATCAGCATTTTATCTATTTAGTCAACTTCTTTTGTTGGAAAAAAAAAATGAACTTTAACAAAATTAGCTTAAAGTTGGCGCAAAAGAATTACATATAGATCATCATGTTATGTCAAAATCTATTAAGTACAAGATGATGGTGCTCATATATCTCAGTTAAATGAGGTCATGAACACAGAAGATATCACTTACTTGTGCATCACTAGATTTGTCATTTCCTCTTTGAATAGAAGCCAGATTGTCGCTAGAATAATTACTTGCTGCTTCGTTCTCAGACACAGCTACTTTCTGGTTTTCAACAATTTTATTTTGAGGACGGCTTCCAGCACTTTGCTGAGCATTCAAAGTGAAACAAAATAACTTCTTGTTAGATTCAGTTGGTTAAATTTGATAACCATTTTAAATATTTTCTTTTCTTTGTCGAGATTTAAACATACGGTTTTTCTTCTCCAAACATGCTGCCACAGGTTCCTCAGCTCATTTTTCCTAACAGGCTTCATAAGAAAGTCGGAAGCTCCTTTAACCATGCATTTCAAGACCGTGCTAATGGAATCCTTGGACGACATCACTGCATAAACAAGTAGGCAGATTAAGCACTCATAACTCCCTGTGAAATGAAACATTAAAATAAGAGCCGAGATCAAGAAAACATCACATACTTATAACAGGTATGTTTTTGCACATATCATGCTCCACGATTAAAGTAAGCAGTGCATATCCTGATATTGACGGCAGCTCAACCTCAGTCAATACAAGGTCTATGTTATGTGGCCTTTCCTTTAGTATATCCCATGCCTTCAAACCGTCGGGAACAGCAGCAACTGTTTGGTCAAAACAAATTATTATTTCTTTAGTTCCAAAAAACAAAGGGCAGAAGATCTGCAGATGCTATGTGCTAAAACATAGAGTTAATACGCGCCTCTCAGGAAACCAAATACATATCACAGAAAGATCCTGAAGAAACAAATAAATTGAGGGGTGGATGTCGGGTTGGTAAAATGTGATGGACTATGATACCAGTCGCTGAAATTCAAGGCAAGATGGAATTTTACAGAAACATTGCATCCTTTCCGTTTTATCTTAAGGGGTGGCGTGGTAAGGGGAAGCATCAGCGAATGCAGAAGCATAGAATAGGAAGAATGCATGGAGTTATAATACCACTAGAAATCTCCGGGTGCAGGATGAGCGTGATATTATATCCTCCATGCTATTACCTGGAGAAAAGAGGACAAGTAAACGAAAGGATTGTATTCTCAGTACTGATAACTGAAAGGCTCATGCTGAAAATGGTTTTATTCAGACGACAAACTATAGAAGGCACGGACAGGCTAAATGCCTAAACTAAATCCTAAGTATTCATTCCCGAAACAAAGAAATAAAGAAACCATTCTATTTCTTTCGGCTTAATATCAAAGACACAACATCATCGTCCTCGTCTTTGCTGATTCATCTGACAAAAAACATTTGGTAGAGGATCAAATAATCCAAACTAAAACTTAGGTAGCAAGTGCAATCCAAGACTTAGTAAATATTTTTTACTTAATTGTTTACTTATGTATATGAAGGGGAACCTTGGAGCAATGGTAAAGTTGTTTCCGTGTGACCTAGAGGTCACGGGTTCGAGCCGTGGAAGTAGTCACTAATGCTTGCATTAGGGTATATCACACCCCTTAAGGTGCGGCCCGGACCTTGCGTGAATGCGGGATGCTTTATGCACCGGGCTGCCCTGTTTACTTGTGTATATATTTTTGAAAACCTTTTTATATGAGGGACACAACATATAACTCAAACACCATCCTTAACCTGATTCAGAGTTCACAAGTGAACTTTTAAGGGTCTTCTTTTCCACTTACAGAACACTTACAAATCTTCAAAGAAGAACAACTATCAACACGCTTTAACTTACACCTTATTTTTCTTCAAATTTCTTTCTTTCTTTTTTTTTAATTTCACCCATAACTTAACATAAACTTCCAGTTTGACAATCAAAACTGAAAGTGACAATATCCTCCTCATTAAGTAAAATATAAAAACAATATTTTTCTACAAAGGTGGAAAATTTTCATTTTTCTTCAATACTTCAAACCATCTTCAAGAGATCTATTCAACACTTGAGAAAATAGATCAATAGAAAGAAGCATAAGGACTTTAATCAACTAAAACCCAGCAACATCTCCTAGCCAATTTCATTCAAGATTTAAATTAAGCAATAATATTAAAGGACTTAAGTTATATACACTAACAGTCGATCCTATTAAATAGAGTTAGATGCAATTACTTTTCAAGTGACATGAAGATATAAATACTTTTTACATCGTCAGTCAATCTAAAAGGTAGCCTAGTGCAAGAAGTATACGGCGTTTACGCAGCGTCCGCCCGCACCCCAAGCTTGGGTATGATACAGACTGCCTAATTACACGGCTCGAACCAGTGACCTCAAAATACTTAAAATCAATATTAAAACTGCAGAAAGAAGAGACAAAATGAAAGAATAAAGATGGCGAACCTCTGTAACTACATTTACGAAGAAGAGCAGCAATAATTTGACGAGTAGCATCATCAGCTTCTACCAATAAAACTCTAAGCACCATTTTCTTCAAACACTGACCATCTCCTCCTCCTTCACTCATCATCACTGCTTCACCCATTTTTCATAAACAGAAATATCTCACTTTAAAATTAGATTTCCAGAAAACAGATAATAATCCACTTCAAAACAACAGATCCTCTACAACTTTGTGTGTAAAGAATAAACGTACTAAAAACTGATAATCCTTTTTCTTTTCTTTATTTAAGTTTTGTTGAAGAAAAATATCTATGACTTGCCCGCTAAAACTAGTGGACAATATTCTTATGTCCGATCAAACATATCTCAAGTTGTTTTCTCTTAAGGAAATTTTCACTTGGATCCTTCAATTATTGATAAACTCTAATTGTGGTCCCTCTAATATCTAATTCTGCATATTTAATCTTCAGCTAATTAAAATGTGCACTTTTGATCCCTCAACTCGTAAATCATTATAAATTTAATGAATTACTTAATTATTAAATCATGTAATTTGTCATGTTTTATGGTAAATTTGTACAATTAAATTTTTTTATAACAGTCTCGTCTACTTTGATATTTTGTGTCTGCTATATTGAAGTGTTATTATAGAGAACATAATAACAAAAAAAATTGGTTCAAAAGAAACTTGGCGGTCATAGTGAAATACTGAAATATATGTTATAAACGATATTTTCTTATAGAGAGGTCTAACTGTATTATTTTTCGTATTTGAAGATAATATAGTTCTTAAAATAATTTATAAACAACATATTTCCTAGATAAAAGGACTAAAAATGCATATTATAATTAACTCAAAATTAAATATCATAAGGACAAAAATTATAATTTATTAATAATTGAGGGATCAAAAGAAAATTTATTCCTTTTTATCTAAAATCAGCTTTGGTTTTTAGCCGTGGAATTGGTGTAAATCTAAAGATGAGTAGTCATTGGTTTAGTGGTTGGCAAAAATTAGTCGGCTTTATTTTAGTCCACAAATTTGATTTTGCACCGAATCTTTCTTTTAAAATCGTGGTTTTCAAGGCTCCTCAAATTTTACGGTGGGACCCTATTAATGGAGATTTTTTTAAACTTTTTGGGACCAAACTAAAGGAGATATTTTGCTGGGCAATGGGCATTGCCACGTTTATGTGGGTACCACTACAAATTTCACTTGACCAGAAATAACTAATAAGGGTCCGAAATATTTTAACTTAGTAATTTGACCTTTTTTTTAATTTGTTTTAACTTATGAATATGTGATTGATAGTTAAACATGGTTTTAGTATAGTATTAAGGGTTCATCCATCCTTAAAAATCAACTAATTCAATTAAGTATTAGTTGAACTTTAAAATTGGTATAAGTCATTAATAGTGTAACAAAAAATGTAGTATATTTTTATATTATATTTGGGTATCATTTTTTTAATTTAATAAATTAAATATATAATATTCCCGTTAATATTTAATGTTCGTGATGTAATTTTTGAGTTCGGTTGAACCCGGTATTTTTAGTATAAACTTTGTATTTATTTAAAAATATATATTTAATATGCATAATTATTAATTAAAATTCAATAACTTAAGAATGTTAAAAATTAAGTCATGAATTTTAAATACGAGCGCTGCCTATGATAGTTGTCGTCCTTTAATTTCCTCAAGACTTATTCGTAAACCAAATGCATAGTAAATATTTAAGTGTTAAACTTCATTAAATCACGGAAGATGGATGCCCCACATAAACCGACCTCTAGGACTTTGTGAAAAGAATAATTAATACTATTAGGAGTACAAGATGTGTAATATTTTATAGTTTAGTTGAAGAAAATATCTACAACAATCACTAATAAAACTAGTGGATGATAATTGTTCTCCAACAAGCATATAATCAATCCTACGGCCTTGCCTTGCTTCACAAAAGTCATGTTTGGTTCCTAGCCATAGAAATTTGTAGTAGCATCTTAACACATGTAAAATCTAAAAGGAGAAACAACAACCCAACCCAAATATAATCTCATTAGTCGGGTCTGGGGAAGGTAGTGTATACGCATACTTTACCCCTACCCTGGGGTAGAGAAACTGTTTCCGATAGACCCTCGACTCCCTCCCTCCAAGAACTCGTCATCTTGCTCTTGGGGTGACTCGAACTCACAACATTTTGGTTAGAAGTGGGATTCACCAACCCACTCATGTCAAAGGAAGAGTATTGAAATTTTACAAAGGTGATCAATAGGTGGCCCGCTATTGAGCTGGCTAGTTTCTCATCACTCTTTTCCACCCCAAAAACTAGTAAATGTGTCGTTTAATGCCATTACTGATCAAGGGCTGTCTTGGGGCACCAAATTCCCGACATATGACTGGATTTGGTTAGAGAAATACATTTCTCTTTTGTAATATCTTGGGCTATTTCATTCATTTTTGTGTAAATATTTTGTGTACATGATCAAAGCTTATAAAGTATAAACTTTGGTGAGTCCATTTGCACAATAACTTTCTATCATCATATATTATGCTTTGGGCTTCATTGAGTTCACTCTCACTTAAGCCCAGTAATTCCGCTCTGGGCTTCTTCGCTCTTAGTTCAGCCCATCAGGTAGCAAACTTTCTTCTTCCAAGCTCACTCCTTAGCATGTTGAGCCTACTCTTTCCTCTTACGGGTCGTTTGGTACGCGGGCTAAATTATCATAGGATTATATAATTTATCCCTGGACTAATTTATCCCCCATGAAAGGTGGGATAATATAATCTCAAGTTTGATGGAATATGATGGAATAAGGTGGGATATCCTGTATTAGGACTGAGATTAAAATTATACCATAATAAATTTATACCGTCAACCAAACGTTATATAAATTTAATATAATTTAATTTCATAATCTTATCCCGCATACCAAACGACCTCTTAGTTTCATGCTACTTTTCAGCATGTTGAGCTTGGTCTCTGTATATTAAGACCACTCTTCAATCTCTCTCAAAAAAAAAAAAAAAACAGACATCCAGTCCACGTGTAAACTTATGAATTGAATTATAGACATAGGTGAATTCAAGATTTAAACTCTATGAGTTTAATCGTTAATTTTCTCAGTATTGAGCTCATTGTATTTTTAAAATTATGGGCTCATATATACTATTTATTCTAATTTTAATAGATTTTTACACATAAATTTATGTTCCGTGTCAACAATTATGGGTTCAATTGAATTCGTCCGTATAATAATATATCCGCCTTTTGTTAGAGAAATATGCTTGTCCTCATCGGTTGTGAAGATCTCACTTAGTGTTTGACCAAACTTTTAAAAAGTATTTCTAAGTGTATTTTTTTTAAAAGTATTTTAAAAAAATATTACTTTTCAAAATTTTTGATAAATAATGAAAATGCAATCCACCACATCTCTTCCAAAAGATCGAAGAGAATATTAGACCAAATAAAAGTCGTGTGTGTCAACCAACATGTGGAGCATGGCTTACAGTCATTATTTGCAATTATTACTTGATGCTAAATATCATATTATTATCCCTAGTTTTTTTTTATTCGGTTAGTGCGTTGTCTTAGGCTTTTGGCTCTGCAACTTGTGACTCCAAATGGAGAATAACCTAACACCGTTTTCACTGTTTACTTTATACATTAATTATATATAGTTATACATATATTATATGTAAATTATACATATATTATATATTTACAAGCTAATTTTAATTTTAATAATTAAATGAATTGCTATTTAGGTTAATTCTTCGTCTAATTTTCACTTTAATTAGGGAAACGATGTGCAGTTATTAATTTTCACTTTAGTTAGGGAAATGATGTGCAGTTATATCCAATAATGCAATTCTGCCCGTGACTCTACTTCGTTAACTTTTGGGTAAAATTGTTGTCTTTTAATATTGGCTATACTACAACTACATAAACTTTAATGGATTAGACCATTAGATTAAACAATCCCATTTTTTTATTTCTTTCTTCGAGGAAAGTAACTTACCGAAAGGAAGATAATATCTTCAGTGCTAAATGTTAATCATTATGGTAAGTTGATTTTGTTTTTTAATATTTAACGTTTTCAAAATATGTTTCAATTTTATCTTTAGTATTCCGATCAGTGCAATGTGAATTAAATCAGAAGTTTAAGGATAGATAAAGAGTAGTTTATACTAATACTGTTATTTTAAAATTATTAAAAACATATCTTTTCAATTGAATGTCCAAAATCTTTTTAAAAAAATAATATGAATAGAAGCAAGGTAGTGGCAAAATGAACAAAAAAGGTAATTCAACAAAAAGGAAAAAACAATTTTACTTGCATCTTCATTTGTACGAGCAAATGAACACACAATATGTATCTTGTATATAATAATTTATCACTTAAATAGTGATAAGTAATATATTTTTTAATTTAATGTTAGACTATAATAACTAATTAATTTAATGTAGGCCAGTAAGTATTTTTCTACCTCCAACCCTCAAAGGACCTAATTTCTGTTTGCCTGTTTGTTAGCTTGTAGCCAATTTCGTCAAGCTTTTTTAGCCAAAAGTGTTGCTCTTCAGCCAAAAGTAGCTTTTTCAAGAGTTAAGGTCTTAGGCTAAGTTTTTAGAAGAAAAAATATTTTTTGCATAGAAGCAGAAGTTATTTTGAAAGATTGAAAAGTAGTTTCTCTCCGAAAATACTTTTTTGAAAAGTACTTTTGAGAAAATATATCTATAGTCTGGTCATCTTTTATGTTCTGTTGATTTATCACCTTTTAACAGTAAAAATATCTATGCAAAATGTTATTGCTTTCTAACTTCTACTGGCAACTCTTACATAAAATCCTATATTTGATACGAATTCTTTTGTAGCTTATTTGGCGACAAACTATTAAATTCATCGCTAATCCGTTGTTATTTAGCTACGGAATATGACTTGTCGCTAAAATTCGTCGTTAAACTTTTTTTCTTTTTTTTTTGTAGTGAACGTTTTAAAAAATTATCAAAAATTAATCGTACCATACCGGTATCAAAGAGAAACCAAGATGAATGAGACTATTTGAAATTTTTTATTTTAGTTATATACAATAAAGTAACTAAAAAACTAATATAATATTAATTTTATAAAATAATCAGTCGAATCGAACAATTGATACCCTTAAACTTCTGTTTGCTTGTTTGCTAGCTTATAGCCTATTGGGCTAAACTGAAAAAATCAGCTTATTTTGAGAAGTAAATTTTTTTAATTTTTTTTTTCAAAAGTACTTTTAGTGAGAAGCAGTTTGTGTTTGGCTAATTAATTTGAAAAGCATTTTTAAACAGCAATTAATATTTGACCAAATTTTTAAAAAGTACTTCTAAGTATATTTTTCTCAAAAGTATTTCTAAAGAAAGAAGCTATTTTTTCTGTTTATTCAAAATTGCTTCTGCTTCTACTCAAAATCACTTTTTTCATTTTTTTTTTTTTCTAAAAGCTTCGTCAAACACTTAACTTTTAAAACAAACCATTTTTTTTTTTAGAAAAAGGAATTTTTTAAACTTGAAGAAGTCTTACTCTCCCAAGAAATGACATGCAAAAGAGGTGGCGGATGGGCGCCACCACTATAAACGGGAATGACACATAAACCAAAGAAATGAGACACATTGATTACGACAGTTGACCAAAGGATCTCTCACATAAGCCATGATCTTGATTGCTCTATCACAATCTCTACGATATTAAGATGAATCAACACTTTTTGAATAATTAAGCACCGAATCCGATTATATTTGAACCGTTTCTTTCATTTTATCACAGTAATAATAAAGTTAGATCTTTTTGTATCATCTATTACCTAATCAAACAAAAACATCTCTAAATTACTCCTATTAAATTGCTCATTATTAAGGTAAATCTTAACGGTAGAATCATTAAGCTAAGATTAAGGGGATTATCTTTTTTGTAACGGGGAAAAACCAATAAAAATTATTTGACATAATTACACCTATAGTTTGTCTCTTTAGCCAGCAGAAGCTGGTCCTACCACTTTATACAACTTATATATAGCAAAACACTACACGCATAATGTAAGAATCTGCCACTATGAAGGAAAGGATACTTCATATTTCATACTTGTAATCTTTCGGATTGACTATTAATGCCAGCATTAGATACATTTCCTGTGTATTCCAAATTCAGAAAAAAGAAAAGAACCCCTTCACTCTCAAGAAACTTCCCACCGACGCGACATCCCTATTCCTATCTATAAAAAACCTTGTCATTCCTTTTCAATACATATTTTTTTTTGGACAACAAAGCTAGGTCCAATATTTGCGCGTACGAGCTAGTCATCAACAGACGGACATCCTTCCTTGAGGAAGGCCCCTGTCGTAGCAATTTAACCGAGAGTGTATAGTTAAAATTGCATATCTTGTTGAGCTCATATATAATACATCTCGTCTATTCCATCTGGTACTTATTATATATGTATTAAGTAAAAGTGATGCTTAGATCAATTTTTAAGCATCTCGACAGTTTTGTATGATATGTCTTGCATTAGCACATGTACTGAATAACGTTGTTCATCGGAGTTCATGCATATCTCCAATTGTCCTAATTTGTATGCTAATTAGGTACTTGAGATGGGAAATTGTGTGTTCAAAGGGTTTGGTTTTAGAGAAGTTGATCAAGAAGAAGAAGAAAAGAAGATGATAAAAGTGGTCACATCCAATGGTGGAATCATGGAGTTATATGCACCCATAACAGCCAACTGTATCACCAATGAATTCCCAGGCCATGCCATATATCGTAGCCATGACATGTTCTCTCCACCACTTTTTCACAATGAAGAACTTCAAGCTGGTGAATCATACTATCTCCTCCCTCTATTAAACCATTATAATACTAAATCCAAAGAAGAAGAAGAAGAAAAAAAAAGTGACAATATTATTACTACTTGTAATGGTAGTAATAGTGGTAATTTATTACCTCAGGCAACACCTTATAGGATGTCATGTGATAATCAGAAGGTGCTAAAGAGATCATCAGAAGCTGAGATATTTCCTACGTACAATAGTACTGGAGTGTGGAAGGTGAAATTACTAATAAGCCCTCAACAATTGTCTGAAATTTTGTCACATGAGGCACGTACAGAGGCACTAATAGAGAGTGTTAGGACTGTAGCCAAGTGTGGTTCTGGGGCTTCTACGATGAATACGCCTGCTTCTTATTCAGATAAATGGAGCTTTTCTAGTCCGGGACAGGTTTAAAGTGTCATATATATTGTGTTCACGTGAATCCAGTAATCTCAAGAATAACCCGTCTTTAGCAGTATAATAATAGGAAGGCAGCTAACCCCATTTGGATCTTCCTTTGGGGTATTGTTATTTAATTTCTTTGCTAATAAATTTATATAACTTGTGCAAATTAAGTAGTGATGACGTACACTAACTAGCAATAGCACCAACGCCTTCATGTTCTGCTAATAGTTTTAGATGCAAAACTTTGTTTAATTTTTACATGTATTATTCAATGTAGGGCAGTGAATGCGGGGTGTAGTTTGGAGTGTGATCATTTCCCATACCATACGTGAATGCGAAATATCTTGTGCACCAAATTGTCCTTTAGTTGGTGCAATGCAATCTTTATAACTAGTTAGTATGATTAATTTTGCTAAAGATCATCCAACTAATGCTCAATTTTATAAAAATCACTTACCTATTTTTTGTCATTTAAAAGTTATTTAACTACCATTATCAATTGAAAGTCATTCGGGCTCAAATCTCACAAAGTTCCTGCAAGAATCTGGTATGACATAAAATTTAGTTAGAAACTAGAAAAATACATGCCACGTCAACTTAAGTTGGTCATACCCAAATAAAACCTTTTTCTTCTCAAATATGATTTGACTCATAATCCAAACATGAAGCCTACTAATTTAGTTTGTGAAAATGAGTTCACATTAACTTACTATATATATATATA